GCCCTGAAAATCGGGTCCAAGCAGCGCGACGGGGCAATCATGAGAGCAAGAGTCCTGGAGCGCCCATCAGGATGATGATCTTGAAGCTTCCCAGCAAGAGAGCGTAACTGATTGAGCTCACCATTGTTGAGACCAAGAACAGCCGTGCCATAAGTAACTGCACCTTCCAAGGCCGCTCTGGACATAGTGCCAAGCGTCTTGCGCCTGGGACGCCCAGCCTTCAGCGTAGACATGCGAGCCCTTCTCGCAGAAACTGTAGCCAGGCGCTGCTTGACCACCGGTTTGCCGCGAACTCGGCCAGCAGCAAAATCCACTCCAAGGTTGCGCTCAGTATTGGTATCAGTAACGCCCAATGACTTCAGCTTGCTCACAAGGGCTCTGCGCACGACGATGGTGTTAGACAAAGCCCGACTCTTTTCAACAGCAACCTTCATCTGAATCTTAGTTAGCAACTTCAACAACAACTTGGAAGCCCCACTGAGATCACGAACGACACGAGACGGTGAACCATGCCTCTGCAGCCCGAAGTCATCAGTATTAATGCTGAGCATGACACACCTGAAGGAATTCTGCACCTGACGCAGCGGCCCCAGGAGCAGAAGCTGCAACATGACCGTGGCGAAGTGACAGCCTGGCACGATGGTCTGCTCGACGTGGATGAGATCACTGACCACGCCCTGCATGTCCAGCGTGCGAGGCATACGATACATAGAAATCAAGAGCTTCAGCATCCATAGCGGAAGCTCGCTCTCGATGGCGGCCTGAATCAAGTGATGATGCTTGACGAACTCAAAAGCTTTCTTGAGATCGAGCAAAATGGTTGCAGTGGACATACCTCTTACAGTTGAATACTCAGACCAGGCACTAGAAATCCATACACACTTCTCCGAGGAACGCCCTTTAACAGACCACCAGAAACTCTGGAAATTCTTCTTCTGCCAAACGTGGACCAGAGGCCTTCGGAGCCTGCGTTGGATCCTACAGAGAACATGAAGGAGCCCAAGAGGCCGAACCCCGCCAAGACGCTTCAAGATGAAGACCACCCGAATCCAGGATCTAGGCCACTCTAGGTTGCTTTCAATAGACCCAATAATATCACATAGTATCTGAAGCGCTTCATCAGGTAACAATAGAAAATGCCTAGGAGGAACCTGATCGAACCCAGTCCCCGTGGAGGCCTTGAAAGTCTTTAACACCACCTTCAGCTGATCCACGGTAGGAGGAGGAGGAGGTTCTCCGAGCGACGAAGGCCAGACGAGTTCAGGATGAGCAGCGGAAGCTCGCCACCATCCTTCCCATTCGCGTTGCAACGCCTGCATCTCCTCACGAGAGGTGGCAGGCCTATGAGTACTATGCTCCATGCAAGAGGGCTGCCAAGCCGTAGGTAACGAAGAGTACGAGTACAACGCTGACGCCCCATTTTCAGAATGCTTGTCAATCCAATGCTTCCAGTCTGTCTCTTTTTGCTTGGCAGCCCTCTTGACTTCAGCATCGGCAGCAGCACGAGCCCAATGGAGAAGTACTTTCACCACTGGCGCAGGAAAAAGCCGTGCTTGCACAAGGCGCCCTGACCAAGCCCAATACAGCTCAGCATCAGGCAGAAAATGCGAACGAGAAAGCGACTCCAGACGATTGACCGAGTCGCTCCATACCTTAAACGAACGCGGCTCCAGGAGGTCCTCAAGAGCTGCTGACGCCTTCTTCCACCAGACTCCAACTTGAGAGACTCGGGGAAACCTTGGAGGCCCAGGGCGCCTGAGGGTTTTGCTGGTAACTTTGAGGTCCACTGAGCGCCCAAGATACTTGTGAGAGTCCTCTGGAGCCACCTGAAAGATAGTAAGCCACTCATCCTCACACGCTCTGATGAAAAGCTTCCAACTGGCGTCAACGGAGTCACACTCGTCGACCTGCATACTAAGAAGATTCCACCGATCTGTGTCAGGAGGAAGCGCACAACCTAGAGGCACAGCAGCAGGAAACCGCCGAGGAACCTGTACCACTTGGACGGTAGCATCTGCTGGCAGCGCCTTGAATCGCAATTCAACTGGATAATGCGGCGCAGTGGCAATATCAGTACGAACAGACACAACGCATTCTCGAGCGAGCGAGAAACTAACCACAAAATAGTCTATGGTGCTATTCGCTGGACGGCACGTACCACGATCAGGGTAAAAAACTCGAGCGTCGACAGCTGCAGGCCAGCCACTCGATTGCAACTGAGCTGGCTCGATCTGCCAATCTGCGGCGACGACGAAGGGGAGCCCCACCTGCTTCAGAAAACTTCCGACCTTGGACAAAATGCTCCAATTGAACGCCCCCAGACCAGAAGAATGCTGCAAGTAAATGTTGACAAAAACGAAACCTCCTCGAACACATCCTCCAACATGGTGTGCCGTGGCCCTGCCAGGCCATAGAACCGTGTCGAAGCCCTGGACGCCCGAGAGGCCTATGTGCTTGGCAACCAGAGTAGCGAGCCCACCAGCGAGGCCCCCAGTGCTTTTTAAGGCCCCAGGAGACAGACTGGCCGAGTACCCCGACCTCCGAAGTTGACCTTCATGCGAATCACACTGCGAGCGAGTTAGGTGTGTCTCCTGCACTCCGATGCAATCGAAGCGCTCCTTACACTCCTGCACCCGCTCGAAGCTAGACCAAGTAGTAATATTAGCAGTCAGAAAAATCCACTCCTTTTTCATCTTCACATTGGGAGTGTTAAATACCTGACCTCTTCTTTTTGTCCCTAGTTGCCCAACTGAACTGCTCAGTCCTGGAACGCTTGATAGAATCGGCCACAGAAACAACAAGCCCACGACACTGCTCAATAGAAAGGCCCAGGTGCTGATTCTGGTCCAAGAAATGCTGCAAGTTCTCGTCAGAGGAGTGTTGCTTGACCAGAAGCTCGGCTGCCTGGTGCGTGACCTCATCTGCATCGGCAAAGTAGTCGGACTGGCCCTCGTCATCCATGTCGGAGTCGGAGTGGACAGACTGGACAGCCACACCCATAGCAGGAGCCATGGACGGCAACCGTACACCTGCATCAGGAGGACCGCCAGGCAGCCCAGGAGAAGCAGGAGCTCCCGTAGGAGTTGCAGTACCACCAGCACCTGCTGCAGCGACAGGAGGCTTATCTTGATGCCGTGCGCGATCACGTGGTTGACCAGGTCGCGGAACTTCTCGCAGAAGGACGGGTCGAGCCCCGAGAAGCTGCGGAGGATGGCCTCCTCAGAGCTCTTGATGTCCACGCCATGCTCACCAGCCAAACAGGTCCAAGCCTGCGCCGAACGCTGAGCACAGTGCTTCTCGTCCAGCTCGTACTGCTTGACCTCGGCACGGAGCTGGAGCACACGCTGGAAGTGATGGGCCAGGTTCTTCTCGGCCTTCTCCAGCTTCGCCTGTGCTGCGCTGAGCTTGCCACGCACGTCGTTGTGCTGCTGCTGCGCATGGCGAGAGACTGCACTAGGATCACCACTGCGCAACGCGCGAAGCTTGAGCAGCTCACGCTTCTGGGACGACGACATGAAGACGGCTGCGGCATCGAACTGTTCGTCATCCATTTCCACAATTTTCTGCATCTGATCAGAAGAACACTGGGGCGTAGCAGGCGCACTCCAGTTCCAGTTGCCTGGGGGTGCTTTGTACCACGTACCTTCCCACTTCTTCCAGACACCACCGTTGCCATTGTGATTGCCACCCCCGGCAGCAGACGAAGAATGCTGACCAGGAGTGCCGTTTGTGAGACCATGCCCACAGTGCTTACAAAATGTGTACCAGCTCGGGTTTTTCTTGCAGCCGCAAGAAACGCAGGCAGGCATGAGTGAAAGGTGTCCGCGAAGCTTTGACGCAATGAAAGCTCTGAGAGGAGAGCTGCCCACTCAAGTACAGTACACGGCCGTGTCCTATAACTTGAGCCAAAATGGCAACGGACCCTTCCTCCTCCTCCTCCTCCTCCTCCTCCTCCTCCTCCTCCTCCCTCCTCCTCCCCCCCTTCCTCCCTCCCTCCTTCTCCCTTCCTCCTTCCTCCTCCCTCCCTCCCTCCCTCCTCTCTCCTCCCTCCTCCCTCTCTCCCCTCTCTCCTCCTCCTCCTCCTCCTCCTCCTCCTCCCTCGCTCCCTCCCTCCCTCCCTCCCTCCCTCGCTCCCTCGCTCCCTTCCTCCCTCTCTCCTCCTCCTCCTCCTCCTCCTCCTCCTCCTCCTCCTCCTCCTCCTCCTCCTCCTCCTCCTCCTCCTCCTCCTCCCTGTCCTCCAGTCGCGGGACACCGAGACGGTCAGTTTTGCTAGGTTCTTACCTCGGAGGCCCGCTTGGGCCCCCAGACCAACGGAGTACGTCGCCTCGACCATCAGCAACAGCGGCCGACACTTTTTGGCCCCGCCGTTTCTTGGCCGGGGCGCCCGAACCAGCGCGCGCCCAGGGCCCGCGCGCGGATGTGATGCGAGGGCCTTCCGCCGGGCCAGCTCCACTCGAAAATGGTCAGTCGGTCTTGCAGGATCCTGCACGATCCTGCGAGATCCTGCAGGATCCTGCACCCGAGCCCGGGTCAATGCATCTCTGGCCCCGCAGGATCCTGCAAGATCCAGCGCCCCAGCTGACCGCCGGCGACGACCGCCATGCCGCGGCCGTTTTGGCTCCACGCAGCTCCGCCGGGGCCCCACGTTTGCGTGGACTCCCCCGTCTCTTGAGCCCCGAGAGGGGGGCCCAACGGCCTGTCGGAGGAGGCGCTTCGGCACGGCCGCGAGGGGGGCCTCCGCCACTCAGGCGCCACCGAGAGGCCTCGGCCGCTCGGCCGAGCCCCTCTTCTTCCTGCTGCTGCTCCTCCTCCTCCTCCTCCTCCTCCGCCTCCTCCTCCTCCTCCTCCTCCTGCTCCTGCTCCTGCTCCTCCTCCTCCTCCTCCTCCTCCTCCTCCCCTCAAGGACCGGCAGCCTCTCGCCGTCACCGCCCGCCGCAGCCAGCGGCGGCGCGAGCGGCAGCCTGTCGCCGTCGCCGCCGGGCGCGGTGAGCCCGGGGTAGCGTCAAGGCCGGGCGCTCCGAGAAGGCGCCGCAAACAAATATACACAGACACCCAGGGAGGGGAGGGAGGGAGGGAGGGAGGGAGGGAGGGAGGGAGGGAGGGAGGGAGGGAGGGAGGGAGGGAGGGAGGGAGGGGAGGGAGGGAGGGGGAGGAGGAGGAGGAGGAGGGAGGAGGAGGAGGAGGAGGAGGCGGAGGAGGAGGAGGAGGAGGAGGAGGAGGAGGAGGAGGAGGAGGAGGAGGGGGGTGGGATCAGGAGGAGGAAGAGGTGGAGGAGGAGGTGGGGGATTGTAGGTGGAGGTGGTGGTGGAGGTGGTGGGGAGGAGGAGGAGGAGGAGGGGAAAATGAGGAGGAGGAGGGGGAGGAGAGGAGGGAGAGGAGGCGGAGGCGGAGGCGGAGGCGGAGGCGGAGGCGGAGGCGGAGGCGGAGGCGGAGGCGGAGGCGGAGGCGGAGTCGGAGGCGGAGGCGGAGGCGGAGGCGGAGGCGGAGGCGGAGGAGGAGGAGGAGGAGGAGGAGGAGGAGGAGGAGGAGGAGGAGGAGGAGGAGGACCATCACTTGGCTAATGGGGAGGCTAAGGGTTGGCCGACCCGACCCTACCCGAGACCTCGTGGCACTGGGCCACCAGTTGTTCTCCACAGCGGCCATGGGTGCCGCTGAGACGGCAGTGCGCTGCCGACGCTGAATGCGGTGCTGGGACCTGGTGTGGCCTTGCGCACCAGGCCTCAGCAGCACCGTACCGCCAACGCCCACGATCGTGGGGGGGGGGGGGAAGTGGGCCAGAGCCACTGTCAGGGCGGACTGGCAACCCAAGTCCACCCCCGTGTTCAGAGGCCCCCATGGGTTGTCGCCTGGCTGACGGAACCCCAAAGCTCGGGTTCTAGGGCTGGCTGCGTAACCAGCACCGTCAGTCCAGGAAAGCACTGACCCCAGGGAACAGCTGTGGGCTGAGGCGAAGCTGCAGCCCTGGCCCGCAGAAGAGTGCAGCGCTCCTTCCCCCTGAGGCGGGGTGCCTGACACGCGTGCAGGACCACACACGCACGCACACACGCACAGTATTCAGTTGGGCCCAGATGTGCCGTTGCACACCTGGCCACAATCCCGTTTCTCCGCCGCTTGTGGCGGGGAGGTGGGGATATGGATCTGGGCAGCAGTCAGGGTGGGCAAAGAGGCCCAAAGTCCACCCCCGTGCCCAGCAAAGAGGTAGCGCCAAAACAACACTTTGCAGAGAAAATGACGGCATGCCTCGCCTGGCTGGCGGTACCCCAAAGCTCGGGTACAAATGCTGGCTGCGGGACACCAGCACCGCCAGTCGGAACGAGAAGCAAAACCCCAGATCGAACCTGCATCGGGCCAAGGCGTAGCTGCGGCCAATGCCGCAGAAGAAATACATGAACGCTCCTCCCCCCTGAGTCGGGGTGCCTGACACGCGTTCGAGGCAGCGCGCACACACACACACGCACAAGTACACAGAGAATGAGGCGACGCCAGGACGACTCGGCACTGCCCACCCCTTGTGTAGAGAACGCCAGGACGGTGGGCAAGCCTCATCCCTGGTGTGGGCTTGTCTGCGCCTGGGCTGGAGCTGCCTCTCTGAGCAGCTGCTCCAGCGGAACGGGAGGGAGACTGAGCACAATCGGGCTGGCGGCTGCACTCTTGGGGTGGCGGCCAGACTGTGCTTTCTGTAGCTGCAGTTTAGCCCAATTTTGGGGCGGCCTCAACTTACAATCACCAGACAAACCTTTCGAATTGCCGTCCTTAAAGGAATCGCACTTGTGGCACACCAGAAAACATGTTGGCTGTTCGCGGTGCTCAAAATAGAACAAAGTATGTCTCCTGGGGTTGGAGTCCAGGCTGGACATCTAGGGGTAGCGTCCAGGACAATCCATTGCACTGCATCGTTCCTCATCTGCTTTGAACGTGCGGACGCGGATGCGGCAAATCGTGCACCGGCGCTGGCCGTGCACAATCGCCCAGGCGTGCGCCCTCGGAATTTCGCGAGGGGCCGCAGGGGGAGGATGGGGGAAGGGGGGGCGGAAGGCGGGGCCCCAGGGCCCCAGGAGGCCAAGGCCGAGGCAGCCTCCGAGGGAGGGGAGAGGCTCTTCACGGGCTTGGCCAGCGCCTTGTTGCGACGAGGGGCTATTGCGGGCCACTCTCCAGGCACGTGCCCAAGGTATTTCTTCAGCAGAGCAGTGTCTTTCAGATGCTGCTCTACTTCGTCGAGACTAGGTTGACTGCCAAGGTTCGCGGCGGCCTCGGCAATCCTATATGCAGCATCGTTCCCCTAGCTAAACGGAATTCGTCACTATCGGGGGGGGGGGCTCCAGACTTTGGTGAGCCTTGATTTTATGGAGTTTGAAGCCGAGGTCAACATGGCCTCCGCCCGCGAGCACATTGCAACCTGGCCATTGGTTGCGGCGAGGGTGCCCAGCCTCGCCGCGCAACTGCAGCACCTTTTCTAATCCGAGTAAATCCTGTCAACGTGGGGCGAGAGCCAGCCTGCCGCCATAGCGGCGATGCGCTCAGCGGCCCCCGAGGTTTGGGCCCCCCAGGGACCCAACGTGGCCATGAACGGTGGCGAACTCCTCCCCATCCACCATGCACACTACGGCAAACCCAGCTGCAATGAAATTATAGTGGCCGTGACACGTGCAACTGCCATCTATGTAGAGATCGCCTTTGACCGCTTCCTCAGGCCTTCCATTCGGGTCTCGACACCGAAACTTAGCGGCCTCCAGGCCAGTGCCAGGTGGGGTGGGGTGGGGTGGTGGTGGTGGTGGTGTGTGTGTGTGTGTGTGTGTGTGTGTGTGTGTGTGTGTGTGTGTGTGTGTGTGTGTGTGTTGTGTGTGTGTGTGTGTGTGTGTGTGTGTGTGTGTGTGTGTGGGGGGTGGTGGTGGTGGTGGTGGTGGTGGTGGTGTGTGGGGGGGGGGGGGGGGGGGGGGGCGCAGAGTTGGGCGTGGACTGAAACCCAAGGTGGAGCGGGGGGGTGTCAGGAATCGGGTCTGTCAACCTACGAAACTCCCCACTAGTGAACTCTTCTCTGGCCTGGGCAGTCCTGGGGCGCCCGAGGAGGCGATGTTGGAGGTCATCTTTGTGGTGTCCGCATGGGCGACCTTGGGGCGCATCGTATCCTGCTGAAAGTGCGCGCCCCATGGCCCAGATACTCTAGGTGACGAAGGCCAGCAACGTACCGCGCGCACTGCTGACATGTCGTGCCAGGCAACCTCGGGCTGCTAGGCAATGTGGGCTGGGGGAGTTCCTGGGTGGGGGTGCACGAGGCCCGTGGGGGCCACAACGGAAAGGGCCTTGAAACGGCCACCTCGCCCTGGCCAGTGAGAGGGCCGCCTTGCTGATGGAGCCCCTACTGGAGCCCCAAGGTTTGGAAACTCTCGGCAAAACCGCCTCTCCCCAGTGGCCGATCCGTTGAGGCTTGCCGCGGCCGTATCGGGGCGGGCGTTGGCCTCCCAGACAAGACGGCGCCGCGTAAGCGCGGGCCCGAGGCCCGCTTCCCACGGGGGCCCCGGGGGATGATGAGTGAGAGAGTACGGCTCCTCGAGGCGCGCCTAGGACCTGCTGCAGCTAACTGTTGAGTTTGGGCCTGCGCGAGCATCGTGTTGTTGATGCCCGTGACCTCAACTCCGAACGTGGTGGCCGCTGCGAGGCCAGTCTTGTGCAACTTCTTACCGTTTCCTCCAGCGTGTTGAATCGTGTTGATACGGGCCATGCGTTTCTTGATCTTGTCAATGCGCTCCGCCAGCTTTCGTCCTTTTCGCCGGCGTCTTTGGGGCCGTCCAGCCCCGCTTTCCATGCCGAGGTTGGGTCCTGGGGTGTCCGTGGAGGGCCCGGCGAGCGCCCCGAGGGTCTTCCGAAGTTTGTTTTGGAGGTCATGGCTGGAAGCTTAAACCTGGCTCTTCTTGGTGGCGATCTGGCACACCAGCTCGTGCTTGATGCGTCTGGCTAGCGACCGAGCAGCCACATTCACTTGACTGGTCGCTATTTCATAGCTCCTAACGTGGCACTGCAGCAATATGTCGTCGATGGACATCGCGAGGCGAATGTAGCTGCGTGTGGCTGTCCACTGGTCGAGGGGGGCGAGAACATGCATTTGCACGAGATACGTCGCCCTCCCGCACCCTGCTATCAAACCCCTCCACTCTTTGCCGACATTAACACGCACGCACACACGCACACACGCCCTGCATAGCAACGAAACGAGTACTTCAACACGCGGAGAGAATGGTGCGGAGCAGGCAGCGCGGGAAACCAGAGGCGACAGCGCGCTGGGCAAGGCACTCGCGATCTATATGCTCGTGGTAGTTAGAGAGCTTGAACGGAATGCTGGGGTTCCTCTTGACACGCATGGTTTTCGCATTCAAGTGACTGTGCATATACATGTTCCACTATTGAATGTCCCGCCTGACGTGCAATATATGGTCGTCTGTAATGAAATTGCCACCCCAGGCTGCCGATCTCTGCAGTCGGGCCCAGACGCGACAAAGAGCAGGGGGCATGCCAATCGACCGAAAGGCGGGCTGGGCATTAGTATCATCACTTGGTCTTAATTTGAGCATAGGCGTAGATGTAGCACCCTGCAGCTGCGATGGCATGTGCCCAATCTGCTCGATAAGCTCAATCATCTTACAAACTAGCTCGGCTTGCGCGTCATCGAGCATGGCGAAGTGGCGTGGGTGCACTCCGTCCCAAGTTGAGCCCGTATTGCGTGGGAAGCTTCTGCATACCTTTCGAAGGCGAGCTGGGGTGCTGGGTCCAAGGGCCACCCTGTCGTCGGTCTGGGAGACCCATTGTGGGGGAGCCTCAGTGTGAACATCCTGAATATTGGCGAGTCGGTCGGCCTCGACCTGGAGGATGCGCGGCGGGCGCCCAGAAAACCGCTGGCGATGCACAGCCGGGACAGGCTTCCAAGCTTCGAGCTTCTTCGTCCACCTGTGCGCCCGTCCCATGCCTCCCTTCATGGAAGACTGCGCCCAATCCCTCCACTCCTGTC